CCGAACCAGCCCCGCTTTTCCCTGGGCGTGAAGACCGCGGCCCCCACGCCCCCCCACCCGGTACATGCTGGCGACGTCTGACTCGCCACTAAATCCACCTCTGACTGCTGGCAGAGGAAAACCACTCTTGGGGATGGCTGCATTTTCCATCTAATGAGATGTGCTGAAGGCACAGAAGAAGCCAGCCGAGCCCCCGTCCACTTGGCATCGCCTCTTTGGAGAGGACACCCGCGCGGCAGCACCCACAGAGCCTTACCTTTCGTCTGCCTATCTGTGAGCAGGGAGAACAGAGGGGAAAAAAGCATTTGAGCAACTTTCATCCTGCATCACCCCCCCTACAATCCCCGCACACCGCCTCTCCCCAGTGAAACACTGGCCGATGAACTTCTTGCTAAAAACTGACTTCCAGAGAGGGGCTGCAGCCGCAGCGCGTGCAAAACCCTCACCCAACGCTTGCTTTTACCCTACACTGAGTGAAACTAGCTCCCGCTGCCCAGGAGCACAAGGAGCGGTGGCAGGAGCTGTGTTTCGGCAGAGGGCATCCCACCCTCCAGCCCCAGCAAGGGATCACAGGTGCCCACCTGGCTCCCCCTCCGCTCACGCACTGCGGCTCCGAAGTCCCATCCCCATCCCCGACACAGCGTTTCAGAGCATGCGCTTGCAGCTGCGGGTGCCCAGGGATGGCCAGAGTTGCCTCGGGAACAGTTCGGCCTCCCAGCACCACTGGGACATTTCCACGGGCCACACACCACCCGGGTTACCTGGGTTGATGACGGGGAAGATCACATCGCCATTTCTCTGCTTAGTTTCCAGCCGATCCAGCTTTTGCTCCTCGTAACGCTTCTTCCCCTCATCTTCCTGCTCCTTTCTCGCATACTGGAAGGAAAAGCCAGTAAGAATGGGGCCAGCAAAGCCACCGGCTCAGCCAGGGGTGCTGACAGGGCCAGGTTAGCTCCTTTCCCCTGGAAAGGGTGCGCTCCAGTTTTCAGGGAGCAAAGCAAGCCGTCCTACCTGGATGGGGGGAACCTCAAGGACCTTGTTCACGTTCTTCAGGGACAGCGGCACGTACCACAGCGTCGCCTTGTTCGTCACCTTCTTCGCCCCTGGAGGAGAGGGGGGCAGAAGGTGACCGCACCGACGCCAGCAGCGCTTTACCAG